TGCGTCTTGTATAAATAAATATTTTATATACATTTTTAAGTGACCTTTTTGTCTCATAATTTCTTTCCCTTCTCAATCCGTACTTCTCGTGGGACTTATTCATAGAGGGCTACTTTCGTCGCAAGTCTTACTTCATCAGGGTTATATTTTTTTCGACGTGTCGTCGCCTTTTCTACGCTGATTCCACTTGCTGTCACGTTAACTATTTTTTGTACATTTGCTAGTTTCATTCATTAGAGATTCTGTCCTTGTAAGATTTTTTGCGACATTTTTATTGCTGTTTGCGTAATCTTCTCTTCCAGCGTGACCAACTGTATCCATGACTACGGTGCATGGATTATTAATATAGCTTTTTTTTCTACGCTCTATGTTATTAGCTGCATTCAACTATTTTCCCTCTTTTCCACAGTGTAAGGGTGCATTTCTACAGCTTTCACCTATCCTTCGTAGGTTGCCAAGTGCTGTGTAATCCCTATGTATATTTTTCGAGTTGTCGTATATCTGTCTGAGAGTCTACATTTTCCGCGTATTGCGGGGATACGCGCGGTTCCACCTAATACGTGAGAGTTGAGAGTTTTTTGCTTCCAGGTCATTTCTTGAACGCACCCTTCCCGGTGACAACGAACCGACCTTCGTAAGCCCGCCTGAAAATTTGTTTCTGACCTTCGTGCGAAGGCGATCCGGTTTAAATCATCAACACTCGGCGGTAGCACTGAGTACGCCGCATTTAAAAAACTTACACTCGGTTTCCACATTAGCAGTCATCTTCGGGATATGTTCAAACCGTCTTGAAATGTTGTTTGCAAATTTCGCTCTCGTGTCCACTGAATACAGTGCTTCCCATTTGATTCTGTGGTGACATCTGGCACCAAGTCTTCGTATGGAGCTCAATTTCTAACAGCGCAGCGTGCCAACAACAAGGTGATTATCGATCGATAGCTCTACGCCTCTCTTACCGCGAATATCTAATACTGAGCGCCATAAGTCAGACAACACAATTATGAAGTCGATCATCGACTACTGTTCACAAGCTTCCCCGTAACAGGTGTACTGATGCACCCTTCGATGTTCGAAAAAGGTTCTCATATTGGACAATCTATTGTTTGCAGAAAACCGCAGGGACTTCGTGCCGCTGTTGTTGAGGTCGCTTGTGCCGTTTTTTTACAATCACGCCTTTTTACTTATCAACGTCTACTCCGATATGCGCGTTAAAATCACCTATAAATATGAGGACTTCATATTCAGCACTTCGTACGTAGCACAATCCTCAAGAGAGGAATCATATTCTCCCTCGTAATTGTGCGCAGGAAATTTTAGCATTCTCATAGCTTTAGCCTGTGGTAGCTTCAGTCGGAGTTACTGCCACCCTTGTGCTGACAGGCTTCCATTTAATGATCCTATCAGCCAGGTTCAGTTCTGCCAAAACACCAACACCAGCCTGAGCACGCGTCATGATATCGAACCTTAGTACAGTTGCTTCGATTCGAGATTCAGGATTCCAGAGTCTTGGCGCTTGGTTGACGAGAGTCCAACAGTGTCGAGTTGGTGCTCTATGGCCTCGTCACCTAACTTTTGTTTTTCCTTTCCATTTAGGATATATTCCAATTTCCGACTTTAGGCTCCCACTGGAAGTGTCGTTTTCGTTGATCCTTGTCTGACGTGCTGTAATGGCATCATGCTATCCGCCTCCTCCGTTCAGAATGGATAACGCTGCTGAC